GAGAGTTGCTGCTGCCGAACCCCGACAGGGAGCAGCGTCTGCGCTGAAATACGAGGCAGCGATCTGCCGTGGACTCCCGGTGATCAGGCCTGGACAGAATCCAGAAAGGAAAGCCAGGACAGAAACAGACCCCCGACCGACACTGACCCCACTCCGATTATATCCATGCCAAAAATGCTTCAACAAAGTGTTTCTTCTACTTCAAAGCAAGCGTCAAACGCAGAAAGCTTCTTCGAACGCCCCCCGCATACTCCCCCCCATGCACGGGCCTTGCATGCAGAAGGACCCCCGTCTTCACAGCACCCACAAGATGCCACATCCATGCCGATTGCACCCCTACGAAGGCCGCGGATGAGGGCAAAACATCCGTAATGTTGGTTACTTGCCTGGAACTCTTCCATAGGCTATGTTAAATACGGAAGTTAAATTCCCAGGGAATGGAAGGGAGCACTTTCCTTGGATGACCACAAGGGGGCAGCCAAGGGCTCCCTACACTGTTTAAGCCGCCATCTAGTGGAGGTTCGGGATTCTGCAGGGCAGATCTGTCACTATTAGTGACAGGTTTTATCTTCCCGGGCTCCAAGATCACCGCAGGTGGGGACCTGCAGCCAAAAAATGAAAAGACACTTGCTCCTGGGGAGGAAAGCCATGGCAAATCTAGACAGCATACTAAAAAGCAGAGACATCACCCTGCCAACAAAAGTGTGTATAGTCAAGGCCATGGTTTTCCCAGTTGCAATGTACGGCTGTGAAAGTTGGACCATAAGAAAGGCTGAGAAAGGCCAAAGAATGGAGGCCTTTGAACTCTGGTGCTGGAGAAGACTCCTGCGAGTCCCCTGGACTGCAAGGCGATCCAACCGGTCAGTCCTAGAGGAGATCAACCCCGGCTGCTCTTGAGAAGGCCAGATCCTGAAGTGGAAACTCAAGTACTTTGGCCACCTAATGAGAAGAAGGAAGGGCTCACTGGAGAAGAGCCTGATGCTGGGAAAGATTGAGGGCAAGAGAAGAAGGGGACGACAGAGATGGCTGGATGGAGTCACTGAAGCAGGAGGCATGAGTTTCAATGGACTCCAGAAGATGGTAGAGGACAGGAAGGTCTGGAGGAACCTTGTCCATGGGGTCGCGATGGGTTGGACACGGCTTTGCAACTAACAACAACAAGGGCAGATCTGGCAGCCCTATGGGATGTGGGCAACAGACGCCTTCCCCAAATTGGCACAGTTCACACGTCCTGGGACACAAAGTGACCCACTTGAGAATGCCACCCCCCAGTGACACCGGGGGAGGGGCATTCTCAAGCCTTTGTACGAGCACATCCGGAGAGAATGAGACCTGAGGACGCAACGGCAATCGTACGTAGTCTCTATAACGTGCAACCGTAAAGGTGCCTGCCCGTTATGTTTGTAGGCGTCACGACAGTTGCAAAATGGATCGGTCATCATAAAAAAGATTGGCCGTGGGACTGAGCCTCTTTTGTAATGTTTTTGGCAGCTGTCATTCAACAGCTGCCACGTGTCAAGGGTGAAACTTTGTGGCAGCTACGTGCCTCTGCTTGCCTTTAGAGTAACGGGGAAGAGGTGTTACTTTCCAGTGGGTTAGATGGAGAAACGAAACTTCTACGATTCTGCTGAAGACAGGGAGAGCCTGAAAGCTTTTCAAGGACACCAGAACAGGCATGGCTTTGAAGCAGACGGTTCCCATAACAAAGTGAACTTGTTTAGATGGACGACGTAAGACGTCGGGGCCTTGGCTGGGAAAATGATGGTTTAAGTCAGGGGTCTTCCAACTTGGCCCTTTTATGACTTGTGGACTTCAACTCCCAGAATTCCTCAGCCAGGCACACGTGCCTGGCTGAGGAATTCTGGGAGTTGAAGTCCACAAGTCATAAAAGGGCCAAGTTGGAAGAGCCCTGCTTTACATAAACTTCTCATTTTTGTCTTTTTCAGGCTTCGTCAACCTTGTCCATCATGCACAACCTCCCTCTACACACCTTCACTTTCCCTGCACATATAGTAACAGTCTTCCGATATTTGAGGGGCTGCCATAAAGAAAAAAAGGGGGGGTTTTCCACCTGTTCTCCAAAGCACCCGAAGGCAGGAGAAGAAGCAACGGATGGATATTGCTCAAGGAGAGAAGCAACCTGGAACTAAGGAGGAATTTCCTGACAGTGAGGACAATTAACCAGTGGAACTCCTCGCCTCCAGAAGTGGTGAATGCTCCATCAATGGAGGTTTTTAAGAAGAAACTGGACAGCCACTTGTCCGAAATGGCATAGGGCCTCCTGCCTGAGCAGGGGGTTGGACTAGATGACCCCCCCAAGACCCCTTCCAACTCTGTTATTCTATTATTTCTTCTATGGTTCTGTTTTCATTCCTCCTTTCTCTAGGACCAACAACAATCTGTTCAATCCGCCTTCTCCACCTTCGTTCCTGGCTTTTCCACTTCGCACGTTCCCATCACACTCAACTTTTAACCCTTCTGGGCAGCCCTTTTCCTGCTAACACGCATTCATTTCCCCCTCATCAGACCACCATTAACTCTCTCCCTTTTAAGCCGGCTTCATTTTAACCCGCTCGGTTTTCCATTGCTCTGGGCAGCGTGCTTCAACCGGAAGTCCCTTTGTCCGTAGTTTTCTTTAACAGGATTGATTGATTGAGGCAAGAAAAACCAAATGTACAGGTACAGGATAGGGGGTACCTTGCTCAAGAGTAGCAACTGTGAGAGGGACTTCGGAGTCCTAGTGGACAATCACCTAAATAGGAGCCAGCCGTGTGCTGCAGCTGCCCAAAAGGCCAACACAGTGCTGGGCTGCATTAACAGAGGGAGAGAATCAAGATCACGTGAAGAGTTAATACCACTTTACAAGGCCTTGGTAAGGCCACACTTGGAATACTGCATCCATTTTGGCCACCGCGCTGTAAAAAAGATGTTGAGACTCTAGAAAGAGTCCAGAGAAGAGCAACAAAGATGATTAGGGGACTGGAGGCTAAAACATACAAGGAACAGTTGCTGGAATTGGGTATGTCTAGTTTAACGAAGAGAAGGACGAGGGGGGACAGGATAGCAGCATTCCAGTATCTCAGGGGCTGCCCCAAAGAAGAGGAAGTCAAGCTATTCTCCAAAGCGCCTGAAGGCAGGACAAGAAGCAACGGATGAAAACTCATCAAAGAGAGAAGCAACCTAGAACTAAGGAGAAACTTCCTGACAGTGAGAACAATTAACCAGTGGAACCCCCTGCCTCCAGAAGCTGTGAATGCTCCAACACTGGACATTTTTAAGAAGAGACTGGACAGCCATTTGTCCGAAATGGTATAGGGTTTCCTGCCTGAGCAGGGGGTTGGACTAAATGACCTCCAAGGTCCCTTCCAACTTTATTATTATTATTATATTTTATGGATAGATGGGGTGGGGAAGGAGGCTAGAATCTAATTTATCTCCTAGGTTTCCGGGGCTGAGACTTTTGCATGGCCTGTGAATCCCAGGCTCCGGGTCCAGTCTTCTGGGAACTGATAAGCAAGGAATGTGCAGCTGGCCACCAAGGTGAATCAGGCTGTGAGCAAACCACAAGGTACACAAATGCTTCTACTTCCTCTAGTTTTTCACCTTTTATGTGTAAGTGCAATCATTCAATTTCCCTGTCAAACCCAGCTCTCCAGGCCTTGCGACACACGCCCACGTTCAGATCCACATCTTTTTCCCATCTGGTAGCGTACCATGTGTATGTGTGTGTGGGTGTGGGTACACAGATAGTCCTTGACTTATGACAGTTTAATACTGAAGTTACGACATTGAAAAAAGTGATTTATGACCATTTTTTCTCATTTGCGAGTTGCAGCATTTCGTACATGAGAGAAGAGCAACCAAGATGATCAGGGGACTGGAGGCTAAAACACACAAGGAACGGTTGCTGGAATTGGGTACGTCTCATTTAATGACGAGAAGGACCAGGGGTGACATGATAGCAGTGTTCCAATATCTCAGGGGCTGCCCCAAAGAAGAGGGAGCCAAGCTGTTCTCCAAAGCGCCTGAAGGCAGGACAAGAAGCAACGGATGGAAACTCATCAAGGAGAAAAGCAACCTCGAACGAAGGAGAAACTTCCTGACAGTGAGAACAATTAACCAGTGGAACAGCTTGCCTCCAGAAGCAGTAAATGCTCCAACACTGGAGGGTTTTAAGAAGAGACTGGACAGCCATTTGTCTGAAATGGTGTAGGGTTCCTGCCTGAGCAGGGGGTTGGACTAGATGACCTCCAAGGTCCCTTCTAGCTCTGTTAGTCTCCCCTCAACCAATGCTGGAAAAAATGGCTTATTTCTTCAGACTGGAGACGAAGACTCCACTGTTGAAAGGTTTCCTCCCCGTTTTCCTACCAGCATGTGTCTACATGACCTCACAGGGTCTCAGCCACACACACACACACACCCCAAACCAAGGCAAGTGGGACCTCCTAGCCCAGGGGTAGGCAACCTTGGCTCTTTTATGACTCGTGGACTTCAACTCACAGAATTCCTGAGCCAGCATGGGGGAAATATTGCCCCTTCATAACTTGCGGACTTCAACTCCCAGAATTCCTCAGCCTGCATGGGAGAACTATGGCTCCTTCATGACTGGTGGACTTCAACTCCCAGAATTCCCCAGCCAGCATGGGGGAACTATGGCCCCCTCATGACTGGTGGAGTTCAACTCCCAGAATTCCTCAGCCAGCATGGGGGAACTATGGCCTCTTCATGACTCGTGGAGTTCAACTCCCAGAATTCCTGAGCCAGCCATGCTGAGGGGAAAGGGAGAGGTTTCCAAGCTGAGCCAGGCTGGCTGAGGAATTCTGGGAGTTGAAGTCCACCAGTCCTAAAAGAGCCCAGGTGGCCTACCCCTCTCTCTCTTCCGGGAAAGACGACCACCTCCCTAACAACCAACGCATTGCGGCAAGCACTGCTAGTAAGGGAAGGGAGGCCCTCGTGCAGGGCTGGCGCAGGCCGAAAAGTCGCACAACGGGCGGACTCACTGTTTCTGCAGCAAGTGCTGGTGTTGCTGTTGCTGCTGCTGCTGCTGTCGGTAGGTCTCGATCGTGTGCTGGGGGAGGAACTGCATGAGCTCCAGAGACTCCTTAATCTTCAGCAGCATCTCGTAGGTCTCCCGGCCTCGGACCTGAGCCAAGAGGAGGGGGGAAGGCAGGGATGAGGACCCCAGGGCAGGAGACACCAGCGCCGTGTCCGGAACCCACTTCCTGACCACGGCTTCTCCAGCTTGGGGTCCCTCCAGTTCCTGAGGGAGGAACTGATGGAAGACACCAAGACCGATGTCCTCTACTGAGGTTGTTCCCTTGTAGCAGTGTTTCTCAACCTTGACCATTTGAAGGCATGTGGACTTCAACTCCCAGAATTCCACAGCCAGCGTTGCTGGCTGTGGAATTCTGGGAGTTGAAGTCCACATGCCTTCAAATGGTCAAGGTTGAGAAACACTTCCCTTGTAGGGTCATGAAAGGTCTGCAAGAAAGCCACCCAGCTCAGAGAGAGCAGCCAGGACCCCACAGTTGTCATCGTCCACCTCCTCCTCCTCCTTCTTTCCTCCCTCCTCCTCCTCTTCTCCACACACCTCATTCCATTCTAGCACTGATGATGTTACCTGGTTGGGTCATGAAATGTCTGCAAGAAAGCCACCAAGCTCTCTAGCACCAGGGACCCCACAGTCCTTCCTTCCTTCCTTCCTTCCTTCCTTCCTTCCTTCCTTCCTTCCTTCCTTCCTTCCTTCCTTCCTTTCCTTTCCTTTCCTTTCCTTTCCTTTCCTTTTTTTCTCTTTCTTTCTCTTCTCCTCCTCCTCTCCACAAGCCCCCCTCCCTTCTGGCACTGATGAAGTTACCTAGTTGGGTCACAAAACGTCTGCAAGAAAACCACCCAGCTCAGAGAGCACCCAGGACCCCACAATCCTTCCTTCCTTCCTTCTTTCTTTTCTTCCTTTCTTTCTTCCTTCCTTCCTTCTTTCTTTTCTTCCTTTCTCTTCTTTCTTTCTTTCTTTTTCTTTCTTTCTTTCTTTCTTCCTTCCTTCCTTCCTTCCTTTTCTTTCTTTCTCTTCTCCTCCTCCTCTCTGCAAGCCCCCCTCCCTTCTAGCACTCATGCTTTTTAGCTGGTCCATGAAACATCTGCAAGAAGACTACCAAGCTCAGAGAGCACCAAGGACCCCATAGTTCTCCTCCTCCTCCTCCTCCTCCTCCTCCTCCTCCACCACCACCACCTCTCCACAAACCCCACTCCCTTCTAGCCCTGATGATGTTATCTAGTTGGGTCATGAAACGTCCACCAAGGAAACCACCCATGTGCTCAGAGAGCACCCAGGACCCCACAGTTCAACTCTGAATGCAAAATATTCTTTTTCTATGCAAAAGGACCTTCAACAGATGAACTATCTTTCAGTCTGGGGACCTCACGTCTACATCTACGTCGTCTTTTTGCTGCTCCTGTGGAAATTGTCCTCTCCTGCCTTCTCCAAGGATGTTCTTTAGACTCCCTCAACATAGCCATGAGATTTCCAGATGGTTGGGGACCCAGATTGTTGGGGGGGAGAGGGCCAACATGCTGACCCTGTAAACCACTTAGAGAGAGCTCTAAAGCACAGTGGAGCGGTGTATAAGTGCCACTGCTTGTCTCCCATCCAAAATCTCACCAGATCTGGCCCTGATTAGCTCCTGAGAGGAGAAGAGTTTAGCTCAACGTGTCCAAAAACTCAGGAGACACCACATTTTGAGCATGTAGCCCAAATCTCTAGTCCTCATTCCTTCCTCCCTTCAAAGTCTCCAGTCAGAAAAGGGGTATGCCATGTTCTGGAGACCCTGTGCATGGAAGGGGCTTCCAACCTTCCTAGATTCTGGACACAAAGAGAAGCACAAGAGAAGTTCTCACAACTTCTAACGGCTCTCTTTGCTTTGCTGGTGCCCAAACAACCTCAAGGTGTCGTCTTCCCAACCAAAGGGAAGTGAGCACCTTCACGTTTTTACACAAGTCCTGGTCCTACTTACCGGGAGATAGAGGAGTTCATCGTCTGGGTTGCGTCTTTTCTTGACCGAGGTCATCTGGATGCTGTGCGTGCTCTGCCGGAAAGCTGCCGACGAGGAGAAAAAAGAAGGAAGTGACCCAACAGCCTCAAGGGAAAGTCAACTTGACATCTCAATTCGTGGAAACTGTTGCAATTCGGAGCCCACGTCTGAAGCTAGAAACGAACAAGAGCGTGGAGGCCCACCAAGAGAAGATCTTGGCCAACTGAAGGATCCATCAGGAAAGAGGAAGTCATCTTGACCCAGATGGAGCACCTTCTCCAAGACTCTAGAAAAGAACAAGAGCATGGAGGCCCACCAAGAGAAGTTCTTGGCCAACTGAAGTGTCCATCAGGAAAGAGGAAGTCATCTTGACCCAGATGGAGCACCTTCTCCAAGACTCTAGAAAAGAACAAGAGCATGGAGGCCCACCAAGAGAAGTTCTTGGCCAACTGAAGTGTCCATCAGGAAAGAGGAAGTCATCTTGACCCAGATGGAGCACCTTCTCCAAGACTCTAGAAAAGAACAAGAGCCTGGAGGCCCACCAAGAGAAGTTCTTGGCCAACTGAAGTGTCCATCAGGAAAGAGGAAGTCATCTTGACCCAGATGGAGCACCTTCTCCAAGACTCTAGAAAAGAACAAGAGCATGGAGGCCCACCAAGAGAAGTTCTTGGCCAACTGAAGGGTCCATCAGGAAAGAGGAAGTCATCTTGACCCAGATGGAGGACCTTCTCCAAGACTCAAGATGCTTCAGGCTTCTCTACAACACCAGATCCCAGCTGGAGGAGCTTATGGAGAAGATTTCTGGAAACAAAGGGACAACCCACCAGGGCTTGGCAGATGGGTGGCTTGGTCCAACTTCCTCGCCGTTGCCACGTGGATTCCAGCCCTTCCTCAGAAATCAACTCCCAGCAAGGTGAAAGTAAAACTGTTCCACCTGGTTGCCAATGTTGGCAGCCACTAGATCCGAGGTTTCCAAACTTGGCCACTTTTAAGAATTTTGGACTTCAGCTCCCAGAATTCCCCAACCAGCCAGACTTGGTTTTTTTTTTCCTATCCTCTGGAGTGGAGAGATTGCAGAGAAAGGGATTTGCAAGAGAATAAGCCACCCACAATGGGGGTATACACATCAAAAGGAATGCATAGCTGGCTGGGAAAATCTGGGAATTGAACTCCACAAGTCTTAAAGTTTGGAGACCCCTGCACTAGATCACCAAATCCTTACAGGTAGCCCTCAACTTACGACCACAATGGAGCCTGCCCATTATGGTCGTAAGTCGAGATAGTTGTAAAGCAGGTCAAACCGTGACTATCCTGATTTTACGACCTTTTTTTTGCAGCAGTCATTAAGCGAACACGGCGATTGTTAAGCAAATCTACTGTTAGCTATTGGGTGTTCTGGCCAAAAATGGGAAGGAAAGGCCAGTTTCCCCCCAAAAAAACGTAAATCAGGGTCACGTGACCGCGGGATGCTGGGATCAGCTATAAATGGAGGGGGGGGCTGGTTGCCAAGTGCCCAAAATGTGGTCATGTGACTGAGCTGGGGGTGGCCGTCAGGACTCCAGAACCAGGTCCTCAGTGCCTTTGGGTAGGAGGTCGGTCATAACTTCGAAGCAATCGGTCGTAATTGGAGGACTGCCTGTATTTCTTCCACCCTGAAACACATCTCTTTGCCTCTCCTTTCACCCGCTAGAAGCTTTCGGGGAAACCCGGAAAAGATGGAAATTATTTCAGCCAGCGGTAATAAGTGGTAGACTGCTCTGTTCAATGGAGGCTCCATTAACATCTGTCAGCCCTATTTGACATGGAGGTAGCTTGTTTTTTTTTGTTGTTGTTTAAAGTCCATTTTAAAACCTGGAAAGATAGAAATTGCCCAGCCGGTAGTAATAAAGAGATAAGACTGCCCTGACCGATGGAGGCTCTATTAATGTCTGTCAGGCCTAACCGACACCATAGCTTGTTTTTTCTTTTTCTAAGCCCATTTCAAAACCCAGAAAGGTGGAAATTATCTAGTCACTGGTAATAAAAGGTAGACTGCCCTGACCAATGGAGGCTCCATTAGACATGTGTCGGGCTTAATGAACACCGTATCTTTTTTTTTTTTTAAGTCCATTTCGAAACCCAGAAAGATGGAAATTATCTAGTCACTATTAATAAGAGGTAGACTGCCCTGACCAATGGAGGCTCCATTAAACATTTGTCAGGCTTAATGAACACCGTAGCTTTTTTTTTTTTTTAAAGTCCATTTCAAACCACAGGTATTTATTTATTTATTTTTCTTCTGATAAGGAAGTTGGCTCTGTTATAAGCAGGGCGATGGAATTGTTTACGTTGCCTCCTGATTGATGCTGTTATCATTCAGCATTTCACTCCGGTTCATTGTTGCTTGTTCCACACAATTCTACAAGTTCGGGCTGGGTGTGGGCCTTCTACCTCCCGTCGGGCCGACAAGCGAGGGTGCATTCACACACACGCTTAACTTGGTTAGGGAATGGCTTTGCAATCCACTTTTGGCAAAACGCACCGGATGGACCACCAGCAACTCAAACGGAGAAGGAGGTCAGCCAAGAAACATTTAGCCAGGCAGAACTGCAGCCTGACTTGGTCAAGCAGGTCCTGTGAACCAGCCCCAAAGCCTGTGGATAACGGCGTTTCTTGGGGTTGTGAGGTAGACATAAACCAGGTTAGTGAAATCTGCTTAACCAAGTCAAAAGCTGACCTTCTCCTAAATCAGTGTATTTCAAAGCTGGCCCCTTGAAGATGGGTGGACTTCAACTCCCACAATTCCCTAGCCAGCTACGCCTGTTTTTTTTTTTTTTTTCCTTTCTCCCGTCTGCTAGACGGGAGAGATTGCAGAGAAAGGGATTATAAGAGAGTAAGCAGATCACAGTTGAGATATACACATCAAAAGGAGTGCATTCAGTGCCAAGGAATTCTGGGAGTTGTAGTCCACCCATCTTCAAGGGGCCAGCTTTGAGAAACGCTGTTGTGAAGGCGGCTGCTCCTGTGCTACTTACGGCGCTTCGTACCATCACCGTTCTTTGTGCCATCGGAGACCTGTTGTTTCCGAATGCTGTCTTCGTCCGCTTTGCGATCCCGGCCTGGGCAGGCGCAGATCCGAGCCTCAAAGCATCGGCGGCCGAGGACTTGTCCGCTGTGGGGTGAAGTAAACAAAACCCATCAGCCCCTTGAGACTAGGTAGCCATCTCTATAGGAATGACTCAAGCACAAATATGGGTCACCTGGCCAGGCCAGCTCCAAACCACGAATTAACCCTGGTTGCTATTGACGGGCGTGGGAATTTTCAAGTTAGGGCGTTTTGCGAGAAAGCCAAGTTGTACGTTGCAGGAAGCAGATCAGACCGAGGTGGATTCACCCAGGAGAGGCCTTTATACAGTTGGTCCTCGGCTTACAACCACGACTTAAGTCGCGACGGTCGTTAAGCAGGTCACCCACGTGACCGACCCAGTTTTACAATCTCTTCTTGTGGCAAACGCTAGGGTGGTTAAGCAAACATCAGTCATTCAGTGAGTGCCAGGGTCGTTAAGCGAACATGGCGGTTGTTAAGCAAATCCACTGTTTCCTACGGGGCGCTTTGTCCCCCAAACTGGAAGTAAACACTCCATTTTGGGGGGGGGGGAAATACAGCAAATTGTGTGTGCCGCACAAACTGCGGGACGCCACAGACAAGTGTAAATGCAGGAAAGGGAGGGGGGGCAGCCATCCGAACCAGGTGTGTAACTTTTGGGGGGGGAATTTGTCATAAGTTTGAATCCTGCCGTAACTCAAGGACCACCTGTACATTTTAAACACCAGCATCTCTGCTCGGTTAACCTGAGTTTACCCTGTTATGTGAATCCAGCCAGAATGAAAGCAGGGAGCACGCGATGCTCAAAACGGGTTCATGGGGTGCCCGGCTTTGACCACGTGCTGCGAACTCGCCCCCCCCCCAGAGCAGCCGGGCACTAATCCAGGGAGTCCTTGACTTACAACGGAGCCCAAAATTCCCGTTGCTAACCGAGATGGTTACGAAGTGAGCTTTGCCCCAGTTGTTAAGTGAATCGCTGCACGTTGTTACATGAGCATCATGCTTGTTGAATGGATCTTTGGCTCGGCTTGCCAGGAAAGTCGCAAAAGGGGGGGGGAGGGTCACGTGACCCCGGGAGACACGGCAACCGTCGCGAGTACATGCCAGTTTCCCAGTGCTCCTGAGTTTTTTTTTTTTTTTTCAGATTTCCTGCCGTCGCGACGGACTTACTCTCTGGCTTCCAGCGTCACAATGATGAGGATGGGGCGTCTGTTCATGCCGCCGACGCAACTACTGTTGCACATGAAATTGTAGAGGACGGTTGTGAATTCGGTGCCAACCTGGTTTTGCAGGAAAGAGAGGGAGAAAAGAGGAAGTGTTTGGGCTGAATATGAGTTACCTAAGAATCTCAGCTGTAGGTCCTGTCTAATTGCTGGGTGTTGCGACTGCTGATACCACACAAAAGATAGTAGGGGGTTTATTTCTGCACACACAGAGACACACAAACACACACACACAAAGAGATGCTATCCTGCTTTCCTGCAAGTTTTATCCTCTTTCTCGCTGTCTTCCAGCTAACCAGGTCCCACAAACACACACACACATACACACACAATGACAAAGAGACACTATCCTGCTTTCCTGGATGTTTTACCCTCTCTTTCGTTGCCTTGCAGTTAACCAAGTTGCACATACACACACTCACACATACACAAAGAGACACTAACCTGCTTTCCTGGATGTTTTACCCTCTCTTTCGTTGCCTTGCAGCTAACCAAGTTGCACACACACACGCTCACACACACACAATCACAAAGAGACACTAACCTACTTTCCTGGATGTTTTACCCTCTCTTTTGCTGTCTTGCAGCTAACCAAGTTGCACACACACACAAACACACACAATCACAAAGAGACACTATCCTGCTTTCCTGGATGCTTTATCCTCTCTTTCGCTGTCTTGCAGCTAACCAAGTTGCACACACACACAAACACACACAATCACAAAGAGACACTATCCTGCTTTCCTGGATGTTTTACCCCCTCTTTCGCTGTCTTGCAGCTAACCAAGCTGCACACACATAGTCACACACACACACAATCACAAAGCATCCTGTTTTCCTGGATGCTTTATCCTCTCTTTCGCTGCTTTGCACCTAACCAGGTCCCCTGTTTTGGCTAGCACAATAAGGACTAGCAGCAAATTTGAAACTTTACAATGCAGAGGCTTCTTCCTGATTTGTTAATTCGGCATTGGCCGAGATTAGGAAAGTGGGAATTTCTGCAAAATCACAGCAACTGCAACAGAGAAGCATCTTCTTTCCAAGCGCAGGGGTAAAATCTCTCTCTCTATTTTCCTGTTTTATCTCCCGACTTTGAACTTATCTCTGGAGATTATTTAAAATCTTCTCAGCTGGACTTTTGGGATTGCAAGCCTGCAGTGAGAGCCTAGCTCTTTGGCTCATTTCAGACTAAGCTTTTCATGGAATTGACTTTCTGGTTAAAAAAATAAATAAATGTGTGTATAAATACACACGGATTTTAGTCTTCTGCCTTTGCCTTGGGACTGGGCGGCATTTAAATAAAATTAAATAAATAAATAAATTTGAAGGAGGCCCCGCTTTGTCCCAAATGCTCCATTTTGTTTTTCTGCTCAGATGTGCTTCAGACACTTAAAAACAAGGCATGGTACTTTAAAAATAAAATACAATATTTTTTTTTTTAGCAACTAGCCATGAGAAAGGAAGAAATGGAATGAGGAGGAAGAAAGGCAGGAAGGAAGGAAAGAAGGAGGAGGGAGAAAGGAAGAAATGGAATGAGGAGGAAGGAAGGAAAGAGGAGAAGGAGGAAAGGGAAGTAATGGAATGAGAAGGAAAAGAAGGCAGGGAAGGAGGGAAAGGAGGAAATAGAATGAGGAGGAATGAAGGAAGGAAGGAAGGAAGGAAGGAGAAAGAAAGAAAGAAAGAAAGAAAGAAAGAAAGAAAGAAAGAAAGAGAAAGAGAAAGAAAGGAAGCAGAAGGAGGGAGGGAGGGAAAAAGGAAAGGGGGAGAAAAGGAAGGAAGAAGGGAGAGAGGAACAAGAGGAAAGAAGGAAGGAAGGAAGGAAGGAAGGAAGGAAAGAAAGAAAGAAAGAAAGAAAGAAAGAAAGGGGAAGGAGGAGGGAGGGAGGGAAAAAGGAAGGAAAGGAGGAGGAGGAAGGGAAGGAGGGAGGGAGGGAGGAACAAGAGGAAGGAAGGAAGGAAGGAAGGAGAGAGGGAGGAGGGAGATGGGGAATGAGATCTGTAGGAGTCGTGGCAGAACTTGGAGATGGAGTCAAAAGAGGAATCAGCCTGGAATCCCTACGTAGCCACAAGCAAACAAAGTCCAAACTCCCTCGAATTCTGCCGACTTTTATTTAACTCTCAGCAAGTGCTCAGTGGGGTTGGCTGAAGAGACGCCTGGGCAGAGGCTTTTAGCAATAAATCAGCTTAACTGGACCTGGTGGACTTCATCTTCCTCGCCTGAAAAGATCTGGAGGACCCCTCGGACGGCCTCCCCCCCCCCCGCCTGCCCTCCCAGCTCACCTGGGGTGGTTCGTAAGGGACCAGGACACTCTGCCTTCCGGTGATGGGGTCTTCCACGTACTGCGCGTGGCTGTTGCCTTCCACTCGGATGAGATGGCTGGGAGGAGCAATTTGGCCTGGGAAAAAGCAGACGGTCACCATTCTAACATTCAATATTCTCCTATTTATTTATGTTTTTTTTGCAAAGCTCTTTGAACTGGACACGGGCGTAGGTTCACTTTGAGGAAGGTTCCACATTTTTGGCAAACTTTGCTTGAAGACGCTCGGCCCATCTCCAAACTGAAATACGGGAAACACAGGCGATCCTTGATGTACGACCGCAACTGAGATGATAATGTCCATTATCACTGTGTGACCTTTTATTGCTGCGGTCATTAAGTGGACTGTGTTGACTGTGAGACACTGCAACCTTCGCAAATACACTTCCAATTTTTTTTTTTAATATGCAGCAAGGTGGGCAGCAAACAAATTTAAAAAATAAAATAAAATTTAATAAATAAGGAAAGAGAGAAAGGGAAAGAGAAGGAAGGAAGGAAGGAAGGAAGGAAGGAAGGAAGGAAGGAAGGAAGGAAGGAAGGAAGGAAGGAAGGAAGGAAGGAAGGAAGGAAGGAAGGAAGGAAGGAAAGAGATCCAGTCATTTTTTTTCCAGTGACATTGTAATTTTGAATGGTCACTGAGTGAACAGATAGAATAAAGGATAGAATAAATATAGAATAGAATAGAATAGAATAGAATAGAATAGAATAGAATAAATATGGAATGGAATGGAATGGAATGGAATGGAATAGACTAGACTAGACTAGAAAATATGGAATGGAATAGAATAGAGTAGAATAAGGAATAGAATAGAATAGAATAAGGAATAGAATAGAATAGAATAGAATAGAATAGAATAGAATAGAATAGAATAGAATAGAATAGAATAGAATAGAATAGAATAGGACAGGACAGGACAGGACAGGATAGGATAGAGTAGAATAAAAACTTTATTGTCACTTTAAATGTACTTTAATCAGCATACATTAAAATGGTATTCCGTTGCCTACTACTCTCCTAGGGTCCCCTGCTTCAGCACTGGGAGTGGACTAGATGACCTCCAGGGCCCCTTCCATATTGCAGACCTTCCCGCCCCCAAACCCTCGCAGCCCCGTCTTCGGCGGACTCACCTTCGTTGAATTCCCGGCTGAGTTCGTGGTTCGGGCAGCGCTTGACCACCTCGGTGACGTGTTCGGCCTTCTTGTAGACGGGCATGGCTCGGATGACGGCCCCCTGGGGCGGGGGGGTCATGACCTTGATCTGGATGGGGCAGGTCTTGGCGATCTGGCAGTAGAGCTTCTTCAGTTCGGTCGAGTACTGTGCCCAGAGGGGGTAAAACAAAAGTGGGGGGTGAAATTTCAAGGCCGGCTGAGGAGCTGAGCCCCACTCCCCACACCAGCCTTGTTTGCACCATGCAGAATTCGTATCCGCACCCCGGATGCCCAAATACAGGTAGCCCTGGGGTTATGACCACAATGTGAATGCTCCATCCCTGCAGGCTCTTTAGAAGAGACCGGACAGCCCTTTGTCTGAAATGGGACAGGGTTTCCTGCCTGAGCAGGGGGTTGGACTAGATGACCTCCAAGGCCCCTTCCAGTTCTATTGTTATTATTATCATTATCATCATTATGTTATTATTATCTTTTATTCATTAGACATGAACCTCAGTCAACTGAACATTCAAATTGGTTGGCGCTGATTATTATTATCATTATTATCATCATCATTATCATCATTATTATTATCATTATCATTATCATCGTCATCATTATTATCATCATCATTCTTTTATTATCATTATCATCATTATCATCATTCATATTATCATTATCATTATAATCATCATCACTATCATTATTATCATCATTATTATCATTATCATTATCATCATCATTTATATTATCATCATCATCATCATTCATATTATTATCATTGATTATCATCACTACTACTACTACTACTACTACTACTACTATTATTATTATTATTATTATAGCCTCAACTTTCTCTGGCTAAGTGAGATTTTTTAAGTGACTTTTGCCCCATTTTACGACCTTGCTCGCCACGGTTGTTAAGCGAGTCACTGCAGATGTTCAGCCAGTCACACGGTCATTAAGTGAATGCGGCTTCCCCCTTGACTTGGCTTGTGGGGAAGGTTGCCAAAGCGGAATCACATCGTGCCGGGGACGCCGCGACTGTCATGAATACAAGTCAGTGGCCAAGAGTGTCTGAATTTTAAACACCTGACCACGGCGGAGGCTGCAACGGTCGTTAAGTATGAAAAAGGATCACAAGTCCCTTTTTTTCAGTGCCATTGTATCTTTGAACGGTCACTAAGCGGACAGTTGTAAGTTGAGGACTTCCTGAATATCTTCCTATTGCTTGCAGGGTGTAGAGTGCAGATATCATCTATTTATCTATCTGTCTATCTATCCATCTATCTATCTATCTCTATCTCTCTCATCTATCATCTGTCTGTCTGTCTGTCTGTCTGTCTCTCATCTCTGTCTGTCTGTCTGTCTGTCTGTCTGTCTGTCTGTCTGTCTGTCTATCTATCTATCTATCTATCTATCTATCATCTATCTATCTATCAGACAGCTGGAGGGCAGAAATGGTTCCCAATCCTGGTCTCGTTCCTTAGATTAAACCAGGATTTGACAACCCCCACCCCGAGAAGCTGCCACAGTTGGCTAGACAATTGGAAATCCATTTGAGGGAGGGAGGGAGGGAGATGGAGGAGGGAAGGAAAGAGGGAAGAAGAAAAGAAGGAATGAGGCAGGGAGGGAGAGAAGGAAGGGAGAGAGGGAGGGAGAAGGGAAAGAAAGAGGGAAGAAGGAAGGAAAGAAGGAAGGAAAGAAGGAGGAAGGAAGGAAGGAAGGAGGTTTGGAGGAAGGAATGAAATAGGAACAAAGAAGAAAGAAAGGGAGGGAGGGAAGGAGGGAGAAGGTAAAAGAAAAGGTAGAGGAGAAGGAAAAGGAAAACCAGAGGAAGGAAAAGGAACACGAGAAGGAGAAGGAGGAAGAGGAGAAGACAACCAGAAGGAAGAAGGGGAGGAAACGGAGGAGGAGGAAGGAATGCTGGTGGCGAAGGAGCAAGAGGAGGAGCAGGAGGAGGAGAATGGATGGTCCTGGAGGAAGAGAAGTAGGGATGGTGGAAGTGAAGAAATGGGGGGGGGAGAGAAACGGAGAAGAAAGGAGGGAATGGCAGAAGAAAGAAGAAAAGGGAGAAAGGAAATCCACCAGCCGTTTATCTCAGCATGGTGACTACTCCATAAACTTCCAAATCTGCCCATAAGGAGAAAAAAAACAAAACTGCTGCATGCCACCAACATACCTTACCATGCCCCCCTCACTCTGCCAGGGGATGCCAAGCCCTTGGAAAGCCCCTGGCCTGCACCATCCCCCCCCCCGCCCCACGAGGCTGCTTGTGCCCGCCGGCCCTTTCAGGGAACGCCGTGTCTGTTTGCACATGGATGCCCGTCCCGGACCAGCCCCCCACACAAAAGGGCTGGCAGGAACGCGTCAATCCACCCCCGGGCACCATGTCCAGATAACGTCCCTTGGCAAGAGGTGCCCGTGGGTGGGAAAGTGGCAGGCAGCTGGGAAAACACAGCCCCGGGCCAAGGTTGTCGGACACCCCTTCATTCTCCCCCCCCCAAAAATCGGGGGAGTCCCCCCTGGAATTGCAAGAACAAAAGTGCCCCCCTCTGGGAAAAAAAAAACCCCAAACCCTTTTCGCTTCCCAAATTTTGTGGGTGCGGCCGTCCAAGACCCAGGCATCCCCTTCCCCCACGAGTCTTAAGCCTTCTTTTTTTTTTAAGTGCGACAATGTGGGATTGTGCAACCGTCTCTTGTGTGCTTCGTGCCCGCAGGCTAAGGATTTAGGCACACAAAGGGTTTACACAGCCTGCGGAAATAGGAGCGTGCCAGGCCGGGCGATTCAGAAAAAGAAAACAAAAGAAAAAAAAGACCAGAAAAAGAAGAACAGAGTGTATGTGTGTGTATGTGTGTGTGTGTGTGTGTGCGTGTGTTGGGGGGGAGATACAAAGTGGATTGCGACATTCGGCGCAAAGAGGCAACTGATTTCTCTCTCCCCCCCCCACCCAAAAAAAGGCCTTTTGAAGATGTCCTGGTTGGGAAAAAAAAATTAATTTATCAGAATGAAGGCTGGGAAAAAAAAAAACATTTGACAGTCGCTATTTGATAGGAAAAAAAATAGTCCTCGGCTTACAAGCATTTGTTTAGCGACCATTTCGGAGTTACAACGGTACCCAAAAAAGTGACTTACGGCAGGTCCTCCCACTTACAACCAATCCTCACCCTTATGACATTTGCTGCATCCAGCTGCACTGAAAAAAAAAACAGACTTGGAACTTTAAGAGTTGGAAGGCACCACCAAGGTCATCCAGTCCACCACCCCCCACACTGCCCAAATGCAAGCATCCCCAAAGAGATGCTTGAATGAATTCAGAGAAGGGATGGTCCCCTTCTTTTCTCCTCCATCCAGGACAGCCTGTCCTGACGTTTTGTGGGAATCCACCTTTGTGGATCTTCAAATCCTCCTTCCGTGTCCTTTTCTCTGGAAGGGCAGCGAAGAAGTCTTGAAGATCTTGAGATCTTTGAAGAGAGGTCTCCTACATCTTCTCTCCTCCAGGCTCAGCCCTTCTGAGGACTTTCTGTCTTCTCCTCACCGTCTTCTGGAAGACCTGGGACTCCACTTGAGGTCCCACCACTGGAGAAGACAATGGAAACATCTGCCACCCACTTCTATCCCTCCAGACCAGGGGTAGGCAACCTTGGCTCTTTTATGATTCGTGGACTTCAACTCCCAGAATTCCTCAGCCAGCATAGGGGAACTAGGGCCCCTTCATGACTCGTGGACTTCAACTCCCAGAATTCCTCAGCCAGCATTGCTCAGCTTGGAAACCTCTCCCTTTCCCCTCAGCGTGGCTGGCTCAGGAATTCTGGGAGTTGAAGTCCATGAGTCATGAAGGGCCCATAGTTCCCCTACGCTGGCTGAGGAATTCTGGGAATTGCAATCCGCAAGTCATGAAGGGCCCATAGTTCCCCCATGCTGGCTCAGGAATTCTGGGAGTTGAAGTCCATCCATCTCTGAGTGGCTAAGGTTGAGAAATACAGGCCTAGGCTAGGGGTAGGCAACCTTGGCTCTGTTATGACTTGTGGACTTCAACTCCCAGAATTCCTCAGTCAGCATGGGGGAACTATGGCCCCCTTCATGACTCGTGGACTTCAACTCCCAGAATTCTTCAGCCAGCATGGCTCGGCTTGGAAACCTCTCCCTTTTCCCTCAGCATGGCTGGTTCAGGAATTCTGGGAGTTGAAGTCCACGAGTCATGAGGGGGCCATAGTTCCCCCATGCTGGCTGAGGAATTCTGGGAGTTGAAGTCCATGAGTCATAAAAGAGCCCAGGTTGCCTACCCCTGGTCTAGGGTCTCCTGTGTGAGCAGGGGGCTGGACTAGAAGACCTCCAAGGTCCCTTCCAACTCTGTTATTCTGTTACCTCCTTGGGACAAGGGCTACAAGAGACAGCGAAACGGGTGGAGAGAAGGGCCACCCTCCCCCCCCCACAAACCTGCTCTGTCCCCTTTCACCGGGGGGGGGGCTGGGAAAAAAAGAGAGTAAACTCTGGTTTAGTGCAATTTTTTTGTGCCCTCGTTAAATACTGCAATGACCCTCATGTTGTAAGACTTTTGCAATATTGGGTCAAGCTGGAAAAGGGAACCCGCCACTTGCACCCGGAACCGCCCCTCCCCAAAAGCAAGGCTTTCCAGAGCAGACACGACTTGCCCAGCTGCAATGCAGAGAAAAACCCCACCCAAGAAGTCCCCCCCCCCTTTTCTAGGAACTTGTGCCTTTCATGTTAGTGATAAAGAGCTTGCGAGAACTTTTAAGGAAATATTCAGGGAAGTCCTCGACTTACGACGGTAACGGACCAGGCCTGGAGGAATCATTGTAAACCGTGCCGGTTGTTAAGTGGGTCACCGCGGGACCACACCTAATTTTACGATTTTTGGGGGGCAGTCATTAAGTGAATCTCTACGGTCACTAAGCGAACGCTGTGGTCGTTAAATGGATCCAAGGTCCGCAATGGGCATTTTTTGGGGGTTTGAAACAGGAAGTAAATAATTGGTTTCCGACAAAAAAAAAAAAAAACCTAAATTGTGCTCATATGCCTTTTGTGATGCTTCAAATAGTCCTTGACTTACGACAGCATTTGAGCCCAACATTTCCGTCACTAAGTGAGATTGATGAGTTTTGCCCCATTTTACGACTTGTCTTGCCGCACATTTGTTGAAT